CGGAGACTTAATTTTAGTTAGAAGACCTACAGAAGGGGAATCAAAATATTGTACTTTTAATGATTACGGGCTTTGGCTGGTATTATAAAAAACATGTTCTGAAAATATAACAAAAGAAGGTGATACGATTATTAGTAAAAATATAATTTCAGAGAGCAAAGCCAAGCATTTGGACGAGCAAATAAATATAAAATTAATGTTTAAAACAAGCTGAAAAATAAGAAGATGTTTCTTATATAAGTAAAAATATTTTTAAAATATGCCAAATTTAAGAAAACATTATTTAAATTTTGTAAACCCTATTTTATTATAAAAAAATGATTTATTAAATTTAATTTGATGGTTCTGTAATGAATAAATTGGGCCATAAGTTATTGACTTTGGTAACTTATTAAGCAATGCAAAAGTTTGGCAATGTCCAGCACAGCTATTTCTTATAAAGTAATATTTAGTTAATTAGTGTTTAAGTTGGACTTTTTGTTATTTAGTATGTAAGTGAATATAATTAAAAAAAAAACATTTAAATAAAAACTGTCTGATTAAACATCGACTTAAGTTGACCACATGGCGATCCTGCCATACACATACGTATAAAGATGTGTAGTTCCACAATAAGTAAAAAAACCGCCTTTGGTGGTTTGTAGTCAGTATTGTAAGTATATTTAGATATATATTTTACGCGTTCTTTTACTTTGTTTTATCGTTAAGTTGTTTTTTATATAGTCTTTAGATTAACATTAACTATTTTAATTCGTTTTTGTTAGTAAATACTTATATAAAGTTCAAAATGCGTTGTGCAGTGGCCAATGATGTGGTAAGTTTATAGCTATTATTAATATACCTATTATTAACATTTCACCCATGATTTTTTTTTATTTTAGCAGAGCGAGCCGCCGCCGCTTTCTGAGTCTTGTCCTGTTTCTTTAGAGTCTTCGGTAAGTACTGTTACAAAATTAAAAGATATAAAAGCAGATTTAGACAACTTATTATAGCTTTCAGAGGTGGCCAATGATGTTGTAAGTTTATAGCTATTATTATAATACCTATTATTAACATTTCACCCATGATTTTTTATTTTAGCAGAGCGAGCCGAACAAAATTACAAAAAAGGAGAAGGCGGCACGTTTTTCCATCCGGAAATAAACCGCCTTTCCCCACGGGAATTGGGAACAATCCCATTTACTGAACCAGTGTGTGACATGTACGTCGAATTGGCACAGGCAAAGCTGTTGGCTGCTTCATTAATTTATTAAAAATGAGATACATAAAGTGTGAAAATTGCATGTCATTAACCACCGAAGAACTCTTAAATCCAAAAGATGATCAGCCTAAACTTCAAACCAAAATACTTTTAATTGGGCTGATGAATTATCTGAAGGAGGTTTGAAAAAACCCACAGAAAAGTTTATGACTGAACTACAGCATCTAGAACAATGAACTAAGTTTCCCAGAAATTAAGTCATTCCAGTCACCTGTATCACGAGGCAGACCTTCAAAATCATTTGAGGAAAAGTCACAGCGGAGTAGACAGAGAGATGTGCAACCTATTGTTTTAGATTACAGCCCAGAACAACTATGCTTGGCAGCAGAAACAAGTTTGGTAAAGTCAGACCAGAGAAATGTTGCACAAGTTATAAAATTGGCCACCGAAACATCGCCAAGAAAATTGAAAAAAATGAAAGAGGTGCATGACGCACCAGCTCCCACTTTAAGACCGTACAGCCCTGAAGAAGCTCTGGGTCTTATAGTAGATCTTGAATTAACAAAAGAAGACTACATTACCATGAGACTTGGAGCAAAAGAAAGAGGGGCAGATATTTATCCCTCTTATCATTTAATTGGAGAAGCAAAAAAAAAATGCTATCCCGCCAATGTCGTTATCACTGAAAACGAAGCTAAAGTGCCATTGCTTGATCTTCTTGTTCATACTTCAGAACGATTGGCAGAAGTACAGTCTGATGTAATTTTAGAAAACATCACAGATAATTGTGATACCATCGACATCCATTATAAATGGGGCTTAGATGGCAGCGGTGGACATAGTATAATTAAACAAAATTTTTCAAATAACACAGAGTACGCGGACTCTAATATTATCCTATGTACAATTGTACCATTGCAGATGTCCCAAGGCCAGAAGATATATTGGAAGAATCCGACACCGTCTTCGACAAGGTATTGCCGACCAATTGTATTTAAAATACAAAAGGAAAATACCTCCAATGTTAAGGAAATCTACAGTGCCATCGAAAGTCAAATTTCAAAAATGGGACCAACATTGCATATCTTAGGGAATAGGGAAATTAAATTTAAACATCTCCTTATATGTACGATGCTGGATGGTAAAACCGTGAACATTCTGACGGACACAGAAAGCTCCCAGGCATGTAATGTTTGCAAAGCCACTCCAAAGGACTTCAACAATTTAGAAGTGGTAACAAAAAGAGTTTGTGCTGAAGAAACTTTTAAGTTCAGTATTTCTGTGCTACATGCCTACCTAAGGTGTTACGAATATTTATTACATATAGCATATAAGTTGGAGTTAAGGCAGTGGCAAGCAAGGGGCGAACAAGCTAAGGCTCAAGTTAAAGAGAAAAAAAGTGAAATGGGCCTCGTTGTTGATCAGCCAAAACAAGGCGGAGGCAATAGCAACGATGGGAATACTGCTCGTAAGTTTTTTAAAAATCCCTTGTTGGTTTCCCAGATAACTGGTATCGACAGAGAACTGATCGAAAAATTTGCCAATATTCTCTCCATTATTTCATGTGGGTACTACATCCAGGAGGATAAATTTAAAATATATTGTCAGAAAACTGCAGAGTTGGCCATTTCTCATTTTATGGGTGGTATAAAATGAGTGCCAGTGTCCATAAACTATTGATTCATGGGGGTGACATTATTAAATCACTTCCTTTGCCAGTAGACCAATTATCAGAGGACGTTATTGAAATGGGGCACAAGGAATACAAAAAATTCAGGCAATATTATTCCAGAAGAACGTCTAGAGAAAATACGAACATGGATATATTTAATTGGATGTTGGTATCCTCTGACCCTATTATAACAAATAGGCGAAAAAAAGCGAAAAAAACGAAGAGTAAATATAATGAAGTGATCTTAAATATGTAAGGAACTCCTACCTTCTGTAGCGGTAATGAAGAATGGGATACGGAAGAAGAGGAAGATGGTGAATGCTAATATGTTCAATTTATTATGTTTAATATTTTACGACCTATTGTATATTAAATTTTAAATAAATATTTTAATTAAGGGTTTTTGTCTAATTAGTATTTTTGATATCCTCTTTAAACCTATTATTATTTTGAGAATTTTTTTTTTAAGTCATTTTTAAGAAAATTAATGGTTATGGTAAAAATAACACTCGGTATAGTAAATTAAAGTTTTAAATATAATGTTATTTAGCGCTAATAAAAACCTTTTTATCCTACATAAAAATTGTCTACCTATTTTTTTAACACCCACTTACACCCTTAATTATTTTCTTTTAATTACACAAAATAATCAAGAAAATAACAAAACTTTGCATTTTTTTAAAGATAAAGATTAAATCAAGTCCTTAAAAGCATTTTTTATCATCATAATCGCAAATAACCCGTTTTAATATTTTTGGCGCCGTAATTTGGTGATTCGTCCGTATGTGCGTCGCTGCATTCTTCCTCAAGCTCGGAGATCGCGTCAATAAGGGCGCGAAGATTAAACACGCCGACTAGGATTTCGCCGATGTCGCTACAGCTGTCGCCGCCGCGGCCGACGCCCTCACCTGCAAATACGGTAAGATGTTTTTTTTGTTGCAGTATGGTTCAGCGCCTTCCTCAATAACGTTGGTAAGATGTTTTTATTTTTTTAAATTCAAACCATGATTTTGTTATGATTATTGCAGTATGGTTCGCCCGATCGCCACCCCTCCCCAAGGAAGTTGATGAAGCCGTGGGTCTCCCCCTCACCCCCCACCGTGACGGCATCGACCCCACCCCCAGCCCCCACCGTGAATAAAAGGAAAAGAAGAAAACGAGCACTGCGCTACAGCGTGAGGAGTTGAGTGCAGAGTTAATGCAGTTTAATTGAATTAAATATTCCCGATCGGGATGCATCGATGCAAGGAGCCCAATTTATTATCTTATCTTAAATTAATATATTAAATCAACATAATGTCATTACAGAAATGTTTCTTAAATTTATCACGTATTTGCCTAGCTAGATTTGTTGATCTATTATTTCTTACATTTAAATTTGGATGGTTTTGTCCGTCTATTTGTTCAGGAATACGAATATTCATATCCATATCATCGTTTCCATCAAAATCTCTAATTAAATTGTGCAGTATGCGTGCACATTTTTATAACATTTATTGCTGTTTCTTGCTTCTTAAGTAGAATACTTGTGTAAAAAATTCGGAATTTTTGGTATAATATATCAAATGCATCTTCAATGCATTTTCGAGCACGTGACAGACGATCATTAAAAATTTGCCTATCGTTGTTTAAAACGCCATTTCTTGGACGCGGATATGGTCTTATCAAATAAGTTTTTAAAGGATATGCTTCGTCTCCTATCATAACCTTTGGTAAAAAAAACATTGGAGTTGGGGAGTGCTTGTTCTGGAGGTACATTTTTTGGCATCTGCGATTCCTTGTAAACCGAGGGAAAAATATTTAAGATAATTAAAATACGTCGTTCCAGAATTGGGTGGACAAATTATTTGACAGTGTTTTCCGACAATCGTTCCAAAACAGTTTGGAAAGTTCCAGAGCGTATTAAATTCTCGGATAATTTGTTCCAATTGTTCTTGGCTAGGAGTAGGCATGTGATCTTCTACTAGTTATTCCCAAATTATTGGACAAATTTCCTTAACTATTACCGAGACTGTTGAATATCCAACTCTAAATTCATGGGCCAAATGTTTATAAATATAATATCAATTAATCCTAAAAAAATATAATATCAATTAAACGAAAAATATTATATCAATAAAACTTTTTATGTTTTCAGAAGAAGAAGTGACATCTCGTTGGAAAGATGAATATCGTCGAGAACTGAAAAAAGTTTTACTTCCTTGTTCGGGAGATGGTCCAAATAATTATAAACCATCATGGACCTATTTTGAGATGATGGGTTTTTTGAAAGATGTGATGACTCCAGCAGTTAAGTCTGGAAATTTATCAACCTGTCACCAATCTGAAGATAAAATTGACGTTGAAATAGAAGATGACGACACAAGAGATACCGATATAGAAAATCCGCCATCCACATCGATAACATCTAATGTGTCAGAAAAACAACCACCATCTATATCCGCTTCGTCCACAACTTCTCAACAAGAAAGGGAAAAAGAATATCCGATGCAAGGAACGAAAAGTATTTGGAAATAGAAAACAAAAATGATACAGACAAGGTGTGAAGAGCTAAATTTTTTTAGAAGTTTGATACTCTATATGGAAAAATTAAATGATATAGAGAAGTTGCAAGTTCGAAATGAAATTCAGCAAGTAATCATGAATAAATTGTTAGACAAACAGAACTCTCGAAATGCAGTTTTTCGACAATCCCCAGTAGCTTCAAATTCGTCTCAAAACAGCATGTTGACATTGTTATCATCAAACTCTCCCCACCAGTCTACTATATCATCAAATAAAGTTCCATCATTCTCCACTCATTCACATCAATATCCCTTTATTTTATTTATTGTTTTTGCATCTGTTTATAATAAAAGTAAAGTGATTTTTTTCTTATCTTAAACGGGTATGGAGGACAGGCAGACTAGAGCGACTTATTTTTGCCAAATAAATTGTTCCGTACCAAGGGGGGACAGTCATGGAACACACTGCGCAAACCAAAAGGGGATGGATTTAATTATCATGCTCGTAAAAGATTATAGAAATATGGGTTTTCCAGTGGCTTTATTTTTAAGTAATAAATTAAATCGGGTAGTTCAAGAGGTTTTTTTGCAGGCGCTGAGAGACGAAGTTAAAGGAGTGATACAGCCCAAGAATTTTATGACAGATTATGATTCAAAATACCAGAATGGATAACCGAAATGGAAAACGCACCAAGAAGACTTTTGTGTAGCTGGCATATTATTAAGAATTGGGTTATTCAATGAAGATCTAAAGTAAGAATAAATTTACAAAAATTTGTATATAATTTTTCTGTGTAACATATAATTAGGTAATAAAATTATTTTTGTTATATATTATTTTCCTTAGATAAGGAATCAAGAAATCAAAAAAAAATGAAGGCAGATTTAAAGGGAATACTTAATAGAACCAATGTAGAGAAGTTTAAAAAGCTGACTAAGAAGGATTATGAAAAGCTGCAAACTGCTGATGAACCGGTGATTATCGATTGCGTACAATGTTCAGTTTTTACCTGTCAGCATTAAAGGATTATTTGCAATATTTGTATACGGGGTGATTTTTATAGTTCTTGAAAAAGGGAGTTAAAATTGTTTTTAATAATAAGAATGCGATTTTCAATTTAAAAAAATACCTCATTTAAGGTAAAAAAATGTTTAATATTGTTAAACATTATTTTGTCAATTAATTAATTTAATCCTTATTAAGGTAATATTATTTGGTGATTAGGTAATAATAATTATTATTGAGGTATATAAACTATTTATTTATATAGTTTAGCATTATTTAATCAATTCAGTTCTTGGGAGCAAAGTGAATTATTCAAAATGGAAACTATGTTAAGTGAGCGAGGCAAAAAATTGATCGTAATTGAAAAGTATAAGTTTCGTAAACATAGAGAAACGGCACTTGGTATTTTTTATAGATGTACAGTTAGAACATGTAGCGCATCTATATTCGTGGACAAGACAGAAGAGGCTCTACTCCAAGTAAATGGTCAGCATAACCATCCTTCCATTGAAAATCTTCAAGTAAAGAAGCTACAAAATGCAATTAAAAGAAAAGTGACAGAAGACATATCTCTTCGCCCATCAAAAATTATTAATATGGGAATTAATGAGGCTCCAGATGTCTTGAATATGTTAACAACAAAAGATATTGGTAACATGAAACAAAGTGTCTACCGGTCGAGAAGAAGTATGCAGCCTGCATTACCACGATCACTGGAAGATATCCACAGCGCACTGGACTCCTATGAATGTCATACTACAAAGGGTCATATTAATTAATGATTCCAGTTTACATATAATTTTATTTTCATGTCAAACTAATTTAAAGTATTTGTGTAGTCGTTAAAAAATTTATGTCGATGGTACATTTATATTTTGTCCTAAATATTTTAGGCAGCTATTCACTATTCATACAGTCGAAAATGGGCACTATATTCCTTTGGTTTTTATTCTGTTGCCAAACAAAAATTCAGATACTTACGCTAATGCGTTTGATTTACTTCATAAATATTGTTCTAGAATCAATTTGTATTTAAATCCCAACGAAATCGTTTGTGATTTTGAAAAATCAATTCATGTTAGTCTTAAGAAAGTATGGCCACAAATTATTATTATAGGATGCAGATTTCATTAAACACAGGCGCGGTTTAGGAAAATACAAAATTTAGGATTGGTTAGTGAATACAAAAATAATGATTCTGAGATAGGTCAGTGGCTTAAATGGACATTTGGACTATTGTTTTTAGATAGTTATAATGTGGAAGAGTGTTTTGTTGAAGATTTCTATTCTATAATTCCACAAAATGAAAATTTCATAAAGTACGCGGATTACTTAATAGATAACTATATTTCTAAAAGTGCAACTTTTCCACCAAATATCTGGGCTTGAACATGAAAATGTGTTTTTGAATTACCTTAAGAAGATTTATACCTTACTAGTACCTAGTTTAACTACCCTTCTCTTATCAACCCAATTAATACGTTCAATACTTGTACATATGTAGGTTCCAACATGAGACATGTTTCCACATTTTTCAAAAACATGAATGCCAATATCGCGTTTAAAACTAATAACAATTTAAGTATGTTCATAAAAAATAACAAAGATAAGTCTAATAGACATATGAAGTCAGGCGTATACCAATTAACGTGTACAGATTGTCCTAAAACTTATATAGGACAAACCGGCCGTAGTTTTATTACTAGGATTAAAGAACATCGGAGATCATATATTAATCTAAAAGTCGATTCAGCCTATGCATCACATCTTATTACAGAAAACCATACTTTTAATAACAACTTTAAAATATTACATTTGGAAAACAAAGGTATTAAATTAAATCTACTCGAATCTCTAGAAATTAATAAACTTAAAAATACTAATAATATTCTCAATGATCAAATAGAAACTAATAATTCACCACTTATAAATCTATTTTAATTTTATTAACATATAACAATAGCATTATATAAAATATTCACACTTTTATAATATTTAATAAATAAAATACAAACTATAAACAGATTAGGTTTTTCCCATTAGGTATTTCTGAATGTGATCCTAGTTTATTATTATGTAACACAGGTAGATGTTAAATGATTATCCTTACCTAGAATACCAATATTTTTTGTTATATATATTTTGTACAATCTTTAGTTTTAATACATTGTGAAGAAGCTACTGTGTAGCGAAACAGCTGTCAAAATTTAATAAATTTCGTGAAACTTTACAACAAAATTGTTTTTATATCTACATAGTAGTTTAACTAAGTTTAATTTATTTTAACATATTAACAAAACAGTTAAAAATTGGATTTAAGATATTATTTTTAATGTATAGAGGATACACATTGTTATAGACTAAATGCAGGAATAAATACAAATATGGAAAGTTTAAATAACTTACTCAAAACAAATCAGTTAAAGAGAAAAACAAATATCACTTTTGACAGGCTTTCGGAAGAAATTGAAAATTTGGTTTCAATTGGTTTACATGTAAACAAATAGCTATTTGGGTTGTTATTATTAGTTTTTTTAAAGGGATTAGAAAATAAATTTATAAGGGTATTCCTAAAAACATTTAAATATTAAATTATTAAAATATTAATTTAGGTAAGTAATTGAAATTTGAGTTTTAACTTCTTGTCCACAACCAAAAGTTAATTTCAGCTCTGTATAGTTGTGGTGGCGCCCGACAAAATAGGTATGGAAAATCAAAACTTAACAACCTAGTTTCCAGACACTAGAGCTGCCGGTGATGTATTTCCAACCCCAAGTTGGTTATAATATGTTCATGTTAATTGTGAAACTGTAAAATAATTGCGATTATTGGCCACCCCTATTTGGCTTTCCTCTAAAATCCGAAACAAAATCTTAATAAATTTTATCAAAAACGACGCTTTTTGCATTTCAACGACAATTCCAAAATGCAAATCAAATCATCCTGAACATAATTAAACTGAGAAAAATACTGGCCATTGTTCTATTTGAAGAGTGTAGACAAACAGATCTGCGTCACCAAAGCTGGGCATTATCTAAAACAATATATGCCAATGAAACCTCAAAAATGGGACTTCAAGTTGTTTGTTATTTATGGAAGTTCTGGGGTTTCGTATGATTTTTAGATATACAGTGGACTACAGGCACACCTTGGGCTCATTGCATCATGTTTTAAACTACATGGAGCAGTTTAGTTCCAAGAAACTGTTTCCAGATATTAAAAGGGCCGGTTAGGGTAACCTCTGTTGCGACTTTAAGCATCATCTCCGACGACATCGTGGACGCCATCCCCAGGGTTTCTTTCGAAATCCTTTTATTCAGGTCCAGAATCATCGACGCCGAGGTTGAGGCAACCTTTGGTTCGCCTTTGGACATCATCCCCGAGTCTTTCGTGGACACCATCCACGAGACGATAACCAATGCGAGAGTTTTGCGGGATGCGTGATCAGTGTGTAATAAATTATATGGTAAAATTTACACAAAAAAATCTATTTCCCCATTCCGATTGCAGAAGTTTCGAAAATTTAAAAACTAAATAAAATTTCCATTCATGTTTACACGTTAAAGCTAATCAAAACGGATACGACTTCTTTTTAAAAACGTTCAATCGAGACAAACCAAAAACAAAATAGATAAACATGAAAATTTATTGTTAATCGAAAATAAATATTATCCCCAGCAAGTGAACTCTGATACAGTTCTTTGGGATAATAATAAAGAGGATGAATAAGATATTTAATATCATTATGTTAATAAATCCTTAGTATAATGGTTAATTATTTATTTGCGATCGTTGTCTAAATTATTTTTCTAGTCAAATTAAGTTAAATGATTATGAAGAATATTTAATTTAACTGATCACAAGACATGTCATAAAAGACAATAGATGATATTTATGTTTTGATTTTGAATAAACGTATTTGTTTTACCACACCCACCATAGAAAATTGCTGTTAAGGAATTTGGTAGTAAATTACCATGTTTACCACCATAGGAACGAGTTTCAAA